AATTTAATATTCAAAACATTATTATATTATCATGGAAAATTTTTGAAAAAAAACCAAAAAAAAAAAAAAAAAAAACAATCACAGTAATATTTTTTGCTGAAAAAAACTAATAATTTCGATTGCTTACAAATAATGAAAATCGATGATGATGATGACAGGATTGAAAGAAAATATTATTCTGTGTTTATATATGAAATATGAAAAAGAATAAGATGACTGGACAGGAGAATGACAATTTTGGATCAATGATTTTGCTTACTCATCATCATCATCATCATCATCATAGAGAAAAAATATATATTCAATACACTCAAACAAATATCTTCTATTATCTATCATTAGTTTCAAGTGAAAATTCTGGGCCATTTTTTTTCTTGTCTCTACTTTAAAGAAATTCTTGTTTGTATCCCCCCAAATTACTCTTGTCGATTGATTTTCATTTTATTTGATCATTCAAATATTTTTGTTTCCCCCACAAACTCCTTTTTTTCATATAATGTCATGTCATCCAAATTGTCAAACATTTTATCGAATCTTTGAACCAAAAAAAAAAAAAAAAAGTTACGAAATGTTTATTCAATGTTGATGGAAATTTTGAAAATGAAAAAAAAAAATTTGTTGTTGTTGTTGCTGTCATTTGTAAGTTTTTTTTCATAGTTTCATTTAAAATGATTCTGTTGTTTTATTTTATTTTTGTTTTTGGTCAAGTTTTTCTTCCCCAGATTTTGATATACCATCATTCAAGTGTTTGTTGTTTGTAAAACACAGGAAAAAAAGTTTCTTTGTTTTTTTTCCTATCGTATAAAACAATCATCATTCGCTATATTGTTTGTTATTATTGTTGTATCAATTGATGATGTTGACACTTAGTGTTTTTTTTCACTTTATTCTGGAAGAATCAAAAAAAATTGAAGAAAAAACACTTATCACATGTGTGTGGGTGTGTATGTGTGCGAACAAATGAAAAACACTTTAATCTAGAATCTATCTGTTTGTTCGATGACGAAGAGAGAATGTAAATGGAAGGGAATGAAAAAAGGATATAGATTTCTAAATTATTGAGATCTATCAGAAAATTGAAAAAAAAACTACAAAAGATGACAAACCTTATTGTTTTACTCAAAAATATATTATAAACAAACAAACAAATGAAAAAAAATGATGGCCCAAAAAAAAAAGTCAAACCGGTCAACCAAATGAAAATAATAACGAAAAATTTTCGGGTTCCATCTTCTGGATGAATGATTGAATGAATGGATGGATATGGGCCAGAAAAATTATTATGGAATCTGGAATTCAATGTGTAGTTACAGCTGTTGTTGACGAAATCAAAAAAAAATCTAATCGAAAACGAATGGATCGGATGAATGATTCAAATGAAAATCTCTAACCTTCTTCACCATTATTGTAATAAATGATGACGATCGTTGAACGATTGAACCAAATGAAGCATTAAATATAAAAAATCTTTCATTTTAATGATAAAAAAAATATTTTTTTTTTTCAAATGTCGAACATCACGCTGGTGATTGCATCCACTAGATAGAAATAGCATCACTCATCATCATCATTTGAAAAAAAGAATTTGGAATATAGAATCCAAAATCATCAATGAACAACAATGTTTGATAAATTTTTCTGATGATGTTTTTGATATTCAAACATTTTGATAATAAAAATATAACTATATGGAAAATTTATTGTATAAAAGTTTATATTCATTTATTTGTGTTCAATAATAGCCCTTCGGGTATTTAATAACTTGAATAATCATTTTGTTTTAGTAAACATGTTTACATCTCTTATAAAGATAGTAAAAGGAATTGTAAACACCTTGACAACCAATACAGAAAAAGAAAACAACAAAAAAAAAATATTCAAACAAACAATTCGCCCATCACATCGATTGTCATTATACATTGTTATTATCTTAAGTTTCTTCTCTCTTTTTTTTCTGTTTGTTTCATCTCAATAAAAACATTTTCAGGAAAGTATGTTTGGATATTTTGGATGTGGATGTTTGATGTTGTTGATTATATGTGTTGGCAGAAACAAAAAGACATAAAATCAAATGACAATTTTGTTTTCGTTTTTTTTTCTTGGTAAAAGGGGAAAATAACTCATCATCGTGTTGACGATAATGACGTTTGTTGATATCACTTTTCCTTTCCCTTCTCCTCAACGCACTTTTAAAAACTTCGTAATATAGCTGAAAAGAATAAGAAAATAAGAATTGTAACCATTTTTTTTCGTCAAGCTTTTTCAAAGTCTCATCAAATTATCATCATCATCAGCAGTAACAATAATAATAAAAATAATAATCAAGCGAAAAAAACCTAATAATGATGATGGAACTCGTCAAAAAAAAATTTCAATGTAACACCAAAATGTTGTAAACAATGAGCAAAAATAAAATCTTTTTGCTTCAAAAACTTTTTTTTATTACATGCAAAAATGATACTGATGACATTTGAGAGTAAAAGAAAAAGAAGTAAAAAAAAAAATTAAAAAGACAAAAAATTCAAGATTCTGATCATATTTTCCTAACTTTACTTTTCAAATACCGGAAAATGAATTTTCATACATAAGGATGAATATGATGATTATTATTATTATTATTATTGCTTCAACTTCCTTTTGTCAACTTTTTTTTTCTTGTTGTTGTTGAAAATTGATATAAAAACATAAAGCGAGTATCTTATTTGACATTCACATTGAATTAATCGAAAGATAAGAGAACTAAATAGTTTTGGAAGCACTCCGGTTTTTAATAGCTTGCAAAAAAAAAAAGAAGAACGGATACAAAGAATATGAAATACGACCTCGAGCATATTAGTAAAGAGAGGAAAGAAAAAATCAAATCTTCTGAAGAGTGGATGAAGAATCGGAAGTTTCTTCTGCATATCATTTTGAAAACACGCAGAAATCTTTCCAGAATAATGATAATAACGCGCATATAGAATTAAAATATTTTTTGTTAGATCAGAAAACAATCATGTGCAAAATGACAAAAACAGTGGAGAGAAAAAAAATCATGATGGAAAAAAAACTTTCTGTATTGATGATGATTGCAATGACATATCAGAGTTAACTATGTACAACAAAAGAAATTCATGTGTCAATTGTAATAAAATCATCAAACGAAAAAATAATTATGACGATGATGATGATCATCATGAACTGATTCGAATGAAAGGCAAATTCTACTCTCGATTGTGTACATATATTCTCGAATGATGATGATGATGATGATATCTTGACGGCAGCAATTATCATTATCATCAAATGATTATATTATTTGAACAGAAGAATGACGCAATTCAAAAGTCAAAAGTTACAATATTAAAAAAACCAGAATTTATATTATCAACTGAACACACACACACACACATATACGAAATGTTTTTTATTTTCATTATCGTATACAATCGAACACATTAAAGAATTTGCCCACAAATCGAATTGAAAATTGATATATCAATTTCAGAATCAAGTTCTACTTTTCTTTCATTTACTTCTTTTTGGTATTGTCTTTGTGAAAAATAAAAGACAAAAAACAAAACAAAACAAGAAATGTAGAAAAAGAAAAGACGGACATTGTCATTCGTTGTCATCGTCTTTTGTTTGTATCAATTCAAAAAAAAACTTTGGATCACTCATTCTTTGTCACAAAAATACGTATTTTATTATAATAATAATAATAATAAGTACACCATAAATATCATCATCATCATTGTGAAAAATAACAAAAACAAAACTAAAACGGAAACGGAATGTTCCTGAACTTTTTTTTCATATATATTTCTTTTTGAATTTTGTGTTGTTGGTCCGATGTAATGAATGAATGAATGAATGAATGAACCAATCTTCATAATCATTGAGATCATCAACGAAACACAATGAATGACTGAATGAATGAATGAATGAATTGGAATGAAGTAGAAAATAACATGAAACGGAAATTTCCAGAAAAATGCCAGAAACAAATCGAAACTATGAGAACAAAGAAAAACAGATCAGAAAAAAAAGAAGAAAATTGTGATACATTGACCATCATCATCATCTTAATTGCAAGTGTAGAGTGAAAAGATCATTTCATTTCTGTAACAAATGTTTTACCATCAATGATCATCACATCAACAACCAAAAACGAAAGATAATGATGATTAGAACAAGACAAACACCCCCATTTCAAAAAAAAAAAATTCTCATTTTCTTCATCTCACACATTTTGATAAATATTGAGGCAATTAGTTATTACATACATTTTCATTCATTCATTTAATATCTTCATTCTCGATTGTTTGTTAGCCGTACATTTGTGTGTCTGAGCCTTGTTTTTTTTTCATTTCTTTCTCGAAATAAATTATAACTAGCTATAAATTATAGATTTTAGCCTTTCATTGAACACACACATTTCTATTTGGAGACAAAAAAAGCAAAAGAGAAACATAGAATCAGAAAATTATTAATTTCCTCAACAAAAAAAAATTCATTTAAAACTAAAGATTCTATTTTTCCAATTTATTCCATTTCAAAATAGGCGTTCGTCAATCATATGAGATTCAAGTATATGATGATTTTGCTATCAAAGGAAATACAGGCGTAAGTATTTGATTGATTGATTTTGTTGTTGTTGTTGTTGATACATTTATAATTTGAATTTGAATTTAGATTTTACGTTGTCATATTCCAAGTTTTGTACGTGAATATGTTCATGTAACAAATTGGTTACGTTATGGTGATGATGATGATCGTCCAATTATTTCCGATCTACTTAAGGGTAAGTTTGTCTTTCATTTTCTTTGCTCTAAATTTCATGCGAATCGAATAAAATCAATAAATAAATAATAGTGAAAATTGATATTTTTTTTAATGAAAACACACATACGGGTTAATGACGCTATGAGAGAACCATCAAAAAAACTAGCCAACCGAATAGGCGTTTTTTCCCTTACTTCAAACGAAAAAAGTAAATCATTTCATTCACAACTTATTTTGATAGTGTAAATAAAAAGCAGTTATTAAAAGGCGTTAAAATGATAACTCTACGGACACGCCTTTATAATTTCATATTTTTTTCTCATTAAATTCCTTATCATTTTGGTTGACATTTCATTTTTCTCATCTTCTTCTTATTATTATTGATTTTGAGTTAATTGAAAACAACAACAACAAAAACTTGGCAAACAATAGGAGAAAAAATTTGAAATGAAAACATCAACATCCGCATAGGAAAAAAATGTCTACTGTATCATGATTGCACAACGAAAGAAAAAAAATTGATTTTTTACTTTTTGATAAACAAAAAAAAAACAAACTCGGTTAACCTAACCAACAATCGAACATAGTTGGAGCATAAGACATGATACCATATCTATCCAATCAATCTTGATTGTTAGCATTTCATCTCACTATTCTATTCTATTTCTTGGATTCTGTTTCTATATTTTGTTTTCTTTTTTCTTTTTTTTTTTGAATCACCATACGTCAAGACAAGACAAGAAAACCAGAAAAGTAAAAAAAATATTGCAAAAAAAAATAAAAATAAATAAAAAACATTATAAGATGTATATCGCATTAGGATCTGGTTTTCATGTATCAAACAGATTGTCATCAAGAATTTTTCATTTATAATGGCAGTGTTTTTTTCAGATTTATTTGTCAGACAAATTCTAAAAACACTAACTTTTTTGTTTTCTTGATCTTAACACATGTGTGTGTTTAGGTGGTCGTTATAGTGTTATGCCGAATGGTGAGCTTCATGTACATCGTATTGAAAATGATGATAATGATGATGACGACGATAGTGATGATAATGTCCATATTATTGATAATAACAAAAACGACCGTCATCATCATCATCATAAACAGCAACAAAAACAACGCAATCAGAATAGCCATGAACAACCTAGGAAATTAATGTTTCGTTGCCAAACTAAGCATATGCTCAGTGGAAATACCAAACTAAGTGCCAATTATGGACGTTTAATCGTCACAGGTATGATTTGTTCCGTTTATTCTATTTTAAAATTTGTAAATTCCTTTTTAAAGAACCTCAAACAAACATGCCTCCAAAAATTATCACTACGGCACCAACTATATCTACCAATAGTGGTAGTGAAAGACCAATAGTCATAGCCAATGTCGGTCAGACAATCGAGTTGTCGTGTGTCGCCCAAGCTCAACCTTGGCCATCTTTTACATGGTATCGCATTAAATCAACATCAAACGATTTGCAATCGTCTTCTCATCATAGCCTACTTTCACCGTTAATTGATGGAAACAAATTGCAGCGGCTTCAAGTGTGGACATTTCAGGTTCCACCAAACAACAGATCTATTGACATGCATGATAAGAATGAATTGCTCAACGGAGAGCAGTACATCACACCATATCGTCTTAGCCGGGCCGGTCGATTCGTTCAAGTGGATAGTTCACTTTTCATTCGTGATGTGGCCATTGCCGATTCCGGTATTTACGTTTGTGTTGCCAACAATTCACTTGGTGAAGATCGTATTGAAATGGAACTTGTTGTCAAGGCACCATTAAGTGTCACTATGACCCCATCATACATATTAGCTTCCGATGGTGATAATGTAGCATTCAATTGCACGATAACCGGCGGTTCGCCAATTCAACAAATTCATTGGCGCCGGAACGCTAGACCATTAATGGCTGCGCAAGCAATAACCGCAAGTAATCGTCAGCATGCAAACCATCGTGTGCATTTATCGCACAATGATAGATTGCTCCAGATTCGACAAGTTCGTCGTGAAGACCGTGGCATGTTTGTAAGTATTTCAATAGTGATAAATCTGCAAAAATTAACTTTTAATTCGCCAGCAATGCATTGTCAGTAATGAATTCGAATCGGTCCAAGCGAGCGGTGAGTTGGCGTTGGCCGATGATCCGCCAACATTCATCACGGTTTTCACGATCACTGAACCATTGCGACCAGGTGTGCCTTTGTCGATCAAGTGTTCAGCTACTGGCACACCATTGCCGCAAATTGTTTGGACGTTGGATGGCGCTCCATTACTCGAAAATGGACGAATTCGAATCGGTGACTATGTCAATGGCGATGGTATTGTCAACAGTTTTGTCAACATAAGTTCTCTTCGTACAGAAGATGGTGGCATGTAAGTCGGATCAATTCTATCAGATTTCAATATCAAATTTGCTTTTCTAGATATTCTTGCACAGCGTCCAACGATGTCCACTCAATCAGCCACTCTGGTCGCATTAACGTCTACGGTCCGGCGTTTGTCCGTCAAATGAAAAACTTGACAGCCATTTCTGGCCACACAGTTCATTTACATTGTCCGGCAGCTGGTTACCCACTCGAATCGATCGTTTGGTTCAAGAAATCATCTCCTAGCGATCAAGGCAGCCGTTTGCCGCAGAACCATCGTCATAAGTCGCTGTTGAATGGCACGCTGGTTATCGAAAAAGTTGAACGCAACACCGATGAAGGAGCCTACCGGTGCGTGGTCACCGGGCCCAACGGTGCTAGCTCTGCCAGTGCTGAATTGTTCATTCGAATACTTGTTGCTCCGGTTATCAGTCCTTTCAATCCCCCGCCAAATCTTCGCGAAGGAATGCGAGTCATGTTGACCTGTTCGGTTGTCGAAGGCGATTCTCCAGTGCTCATTCATTTCCTCAAGGATGGCGAACCCATCCACGACACTCATAGCACAAGTGCCTCGCGTCGAATAAAGTTGGATGTAACTAATGAATTTTCGGCCACTTTGTACATTTCTTCAGTGATCGCCGAAGACTCGGGAAACTATACCTGCATCGCATCCAACATGGCAGCTGTAACTACATACTCAATCGTAGTCAAGGTCAACGGTAAGGACATCAGAAATTGGAAGTGTATTTGACTAATATGAATTACTTTTGATACCCAGTGCCGCCTAAATGGAAAATTCCACCCACCGATACCGAAGCCATTCAAGGTCAAAACGTGGTCATCGATTGCTCTGCCAGCGGTGAACCTCGAATCTGGTGGGAACGTGCCCATGACAAATCGTCGAGCTTAGCCTCCTCTTCCAAACTAACTTCATCATCGATAGGTCCGGCTGATGGAGAACCAGCGTCTATCGTTCATTTCTTCCGTACTGTGGTCAGCAATTCGCACATGCACACCCTGGAAAATGGCAGTCTCATGATCCGTGATGTGAGTGAAGAGGATTCAGGCGTCTACCTTTGCCAGGCCAATAATGGAGTAGGCTCAGGATTGAGCAAAGTCATCACGCTCAAAGTCCACGGTAAGATTTGAACACGAAAAAGTTCTCATTAACCTCAAAACCTCATTAACACAGTGCCCGCACACTTCAAAAGTAAGTTTTCAGCTCATACTGTTCAACGTGGAGAATCAATCGAATTCGCTTGTGAGGCTTATGGTGAATTTCCAGTTTCGATGCAAGTTGCCAAAGATCGAATGCCACTCGATTTTGGTTCCACATTCGACCGGTTACCATCCGATCCATTGCTTGAACAACAGATACTGCACACAGATAATCGGTATCACCTGCTAAGAAGAGTGACAGGTCAGTCGGATCGAGCAATTACCTCATACATTGTCCGCATCGCAAATGTTGATCGTCGCGATTCTTCCCTTTTCACATGTCTGGCATCCAACAACTTCGGCAAGGATGAATACAACTTTCAGTTGATAGTTCAAGGTAATTTTGATCAGAAGCTAGAACAATCATTGAATTTTTTTCTGTTTCAATTCCAGAACCACCCGGAAAACCAGAAAATGTTCATGTGTTGGAACTAGATAGTAGGTCCGCTGTTGTCGCTTGGTCACAGCCATATTCCGGCAACAGTCCGATTATCGCCTATCATGTCGAGTATCGCCAGTGGTTGGAAATATTACCCTCATGGCATCATCTCGACGCCACAACCAACCTGCAACAGCAAAACATCAATGAGCAAAATGGGAAGCTACACCAGCCATCATCAAAACCGGCCGGTACTATTTTCCGACAAACATTGATAGGAACTGAATCGTCAATCAGTCTGCGTTCTCTTAAACCGATGACTACGTATGAAGTTCGAGTTCAGGCAGAAAACAAGTTGGGACTCGGTCCATTTCAAATGCCACCGCTCAAAATCACGACTAAAGAGGAAGGTTAGGATACACTGTTTAAATTGGCCTGAGACATTATAATAAATTTTCTCTATTTCTAGCGCCATCTGGTCCTCCGTTAAACATTCACGTCTACCCATCAAGTGCACATTCACTGCAGGTCACATTCCATCCGCCACGAATAGAACATCAAAATGGCCAGATTCTGGGTTACTACGTTGGCTATAAAGCCATTGATCTGGACGAACACTTTATGTTCAAGAAGGTTGTTGAGGAAAAATCCTCACAACCATCGACTCAGAACAAAGAAGTGAAGATTTCAGATCTTCGACGTGCGACCAAGTACTTGGTCATTGTCCAAGCCTTCAATAGGTTCGAATTCCATTGATTATAAACCTAAAACTTATGTCGCTTTGTTATAGAATTGGCCCAGGACCACAATCAGAGGAGGTGATTGGCGAAACTTTGGTGAACGATCCACCACGAGCACCAATTTTGACATCGGTCAACGTTAACTATGATTCAGTCGAACTAAGTTGGTCGATTGAAGCAGCCGACGATTCATACGCTGCAGAGCAACAAACATCCAACTCGGACGTACCAGAGATAACCGGCTACTTTCTGTATGCAAAATCCTCCCAATCAGGAGAATGGAAAGAACGACAAGTTGATTCTCAACAGAACTCATACACGTTTACGAATCTGTTGTGCGGCACGCAATATCAATTCTATGTTATTGCTTACAACAACGTTGGCAAAGGCGACCCTAGCCAGGCAATTGCCGTTCGCACCAAGGGTTCTGGTAAGATTTGCAAAATTATATGGATTATTAACAATTTATCTTCAGTACCAATAGCCCCGAAGAACTGGAATTCGTTCATCACTGTCAACTCAACCGTAGCACTGATTCGTCTGGATGCTTGGCTTGTAAATGGGTGTGATATCAAATACTTTGTACTTAAGTATCGGCCGCGGATGGATTCCGAATGGCTTGTCGCTTCATCAAAAATCTCGCCCCGTGAACAACGTTTTGTTGAATTGGTTGATTTACGACCTGCCACTTGGTACTTGCTAAATATGGCTGCCTTAACCGACATAGGCACCACTGAAGAAACCTACATGTTTGCGACCTTGACCATGGATGGTGAAACGATCCCACCATTGGAAACTATCTCACGCACATTGACATCGGAAAATTCAATCTCGGCTTCTTCGGGCTCTATGGGTTCAAGTGGCGGAGTTGGCGGATCAAACACACTTAGCTCGATGCAATCATTGACCATTGTCATTCCGGCAACATGTTCTGTGATAGTTCTTACTGTGATCATTTTAGTCGCTTGTTTTGTTTTGGGCACCAAACGGTCATCTCAACAATTTGAAAGTACAATTTTGTCAGCCATTGGTGCACGAAACGGTAGCAGCAATTCTCATAATCATACGAGTATTAATGGAACGCCCTCGCATATTCATGCCCATATTTCTGATCAATTATCCACAACATATTGTCCAACGACAGCAACCGGTGATTCAAGTAATGAACCACGTTATAGTACTGGATTATTGAGCAACAATCTTGACAATTATGGTTTCTGTCCTGGAAATAATAATTTAAACAATGGTATTGCATCCGCCAAATGTATGATTAATGGTACGCCAACAATGCTGGCTGCTAATAATTCAACAAATTCAATCGAAATGATACATTCAGCAGCATTAGGTTATGCAACTTTGAAAAAACAACGTACAAATATTCAAACAATGAAATCAATATTGGACTCTGATATTAAAAATTTGGATCTATCTAAACCATTATCGTCGGTTGATAATTCAACATCTACTGCGAAAACTATAGTGACATCAACAACAACATGTTTGGATTCAAAATTATGTGATTTGAATAAAATAACAGATCCATCCGGTTTATTGACCGTTCAGGCAACATTATGCTGTAATAATTCTAACGAATCGAATGACAACACAAACACTACGGTTCATTATTTTCAAACACCATATGCCCTATCACAATTACCTAATAACAATAACAACACTAACAATAATAATAATGACCAGTTCACCAATCAATTTAATGCTGTGAATAACGATAATAATAATGATATGGAAAATGATCAAATAGCTGAATTATCATGTTTAAATGCTGCATACACTGCCAATAATACCTGTACATTACGTCCAAATATCAAAAATCATCAACATCTTCATGGCGATAATCATCACAGCCATGTATATGATTTGCCATTCCCGCCAAAATGGGTTTGAAATAGAACATTAGTTCTAATTATCAACTTATATCTATCTATATACTAATCATCTAATAAATTTAATGAGAATATTTTATAATGTTGATAATTTTCGTTTTAACGCGAAAAAATTGTGATATAATTTTTGTTATTTCTAATCATTAATAAAAAAAATTTTGTGCAAAAAACTTACTGATCATTCATTGAAATTTGAAACGTACAGTCGAAACATTTTGTTTTTATTGATATTGAGTGCATTTTTCTCAGAATTGATAAGTTATGACATTCGTAATCAAAGCTTGTATATCAACTAGCTCAATGAGAATCCGGTCCATGAGCGCACATTTACACATATATACGCACCCAATCAATCTTCATTTGTTATTACGAAAATGCATAATTATACAAATTATTTTTTGTTTTTGTTTTTTATAAACTTGTCAATTTATTTGTAAGTATTGAATTTAGAGAAAAATTAAGATCAGGAATAAGACTTTTTAATTTTTAAATGACAATCTTTCAACAATTTCTTCAATTTTTTCACAAGCTTTTTGCTTAGAATTAGCTGAACGCATACGTTCCCCCGCCTTTTTACACCTTTGAATCATTTGCTGATCGTTTAGAATTTGATCAATCATTGCACATAATTCTCCTTGTTTGAATAAATATCCATTGAAACGATTACCATAACCTTTTTCTAGGATACGTTGAGCATTATCATACTGATCGGCAAATAACGGCATGACAAGCATTGGCTTGCCATGATAAAACGCTTCCGTTACTGTATTATTTCCTCCATGCGTTATGACCAAATCGACTAATGGCAAAATCTTTGTCTGTACTAAATAAGGTTTGCCCCACATATTATCGGATAATTGATATTGTGAATGAGCTACTCCCATTGATACAATAAATTTATGTGGTGAATTCGATAATTCGGCCACTATACGTTTCATTAAATCGACATCAATTGAGGCCATTGATCCAAGCGAAACATAAACTAATTTATCATCTGGCAAAAGTTTTGATCGGAATTCTTTCGGCAATTCGAATGGTTCAGATGTTTCGAGACAAAATGTATCCATTCGAATGTAATTATCTGGTAATTGAGCAATATCTCTATAGTCCAATTCTTCTGGATAACCATAGATATTCATATATGGTGATATACGAAGAATTTCGTCTTCACTTGTTTCAGGATATCCGAATTCTCGGTTAAGGTTATTTTGATGATATCTTATTTCAGTTGGAAATCCTTCTCGATGTTTTTTGCGAAATTCTTCCCAACCAGTACGATCATTTGATGGATAACCTTTGTCAAGAAATAAAATCAGTGTTGAAATTCGATTTGTACTATCAATGTTCATCTTACCTGACGAACGTGGTGGAACATCAGGTGAATCATACAGATGTAATGGATTACCGCTGAACAATGAAGCCCAAGGTATCGTGCCATAAGCAATACATGGTGGGATGAAAAATCGATCGATTATGATTAAATCTGGGAGCTCCTGTTTTATTGCAGCTTCAATTTGCGGATGAACAGCTCTTAATTCCTCATATCTTTCCAGCAGAAAATCATGTGGTTCATTTGGATTGAATTCGAGAATCTTTTCATACGATGATTTTTCACTGAGCCAATTAGTTTTTCTTATTCGTTCTAACCTGGCCGCAATAGCTTCAAGGGGATGTGTCGCTTCTTGTTTAGCTTTCATTTTGGCAGCGATAATTGTCTGATGATTTTCATCTCCAATCAATATGATTTCATTAAAACCAGATTTCTCGAACGTTCCAGCGAACGATGGATTTGTAAGGAAATAGATTGAATGTCCACGTTTGGCCAGTGCTTGTGCCAATCCTACGCAGGCATTAATATGGCCAACTGCATCCAATGACAGGAAAAATATTTTCAATTTTTTCTTTTGTTGAACCATTTTTTTTCATCCAATATCGATTGTTGATTTATGTGCTGAATTTATTGTTGAAATTTAAACGAAATTTTTTTTTGTTTTTTCGCTGTATTTTTATACTCAAAAATCGTTATCGGTAAGCAAATATAATAACTTGTTGTCTGAAACATATTGACAGCACACACATAAACAAGTGAGATTTGTAATGTGACCAACGAATCGATTTGACAATAAATAAACTGATGGCCGAACTCGTAAACATAAACATAAACAATTTGATATGTTAAGTCAATTTTTTCCATATACTTTCAAAATAAATCGAAAAATAATACATTCGTAACCTTAGCGTCATTTTTTTCCTGGTTTTTTGCACTGCATTTCACATTTATTGATCGATTTATAGGAAATCACAAACTCATCGATATATTTGCATATTATCACGGAGCTTATCAGAAAGATCAACTAATTACACATACATGATCAAAGTACAGAACTTATCAAATTTTTTGACTTGAAATATGGACGATAAATTGAAATTTATTTCATAGTAAAACATTTAATTACATCTATATATGTTGTAATTAAAATTTTCTAATCAAAATTCAAATGTTTCATTTTGATGATAATTGTTCCACAATTTGCTCAATTTTTTCGCATGCTTTTTCCTTTGAATTCGTTGCACTTAATCGTTTGGCAGCAGCTAAACATCGTTGTTGCATTTCTTTGTCATCAAGCATTTTGTCAATCATTTGACAGAGTTCTCCTTCTTTAAATAGATAACCATTCATGCGATTTCCATATCCTTTTTCTGTGATGCGCTGTGCATTATCATATTGATCACCGAACAATGGTAATACAATCATTGGTTTGCCAAATGAAAACGTTTCCGTTACGGTATTATTACCACCATGTGTTATAACCAAATCAACTAATGGCAAAAGTTTTGTCTGTGGCAAAAATCCCTCACCCCACATATTATCTGCCAATTCATATTGATCATGAGCGGGTCCCATTGAGAAAATATACTTATGGGGCGATTTTACTAGCTCAGCTACTAATCGTTTCATCAGATCAACATCAATCGATCCCATCGAGCCCATTGATACATAAATCAATTTATCTCCAGGTTTGATTTTAGCTTTAAATTCGGTTGGTAATTCAAACGATTCAGGTGAATCTCGACAGAATGCATCAAGACGAACATAAGTTTCCGGTAAAGTAATCAAATCAGTATAATCTAATTCTTCCGGATAACCATATATGTTTAGATATGGTGATTGAAACAAGAATTGATTTGAAGGAACATCGGGGTAGCCAAAATCTTTGTTTAGCATATTCTGACGATAACGGATTGCGGCTGGAAATCCTTTGGAAAATTTTTCACGAAATTCATCCCAATGAGTACGATCATTTGTTGGATAACCTAGTCAATGATAATAGATATAAGCGAATATGTATTGAAACTTGAGTTTCTTAAGTTACCTGATGATATAGGAGGTAATTCTGGGTGATCCAAAATAAATATAGGATTACCACTAAATAAAAACGCCCAAGGTGTCTTTCCATATGCAATACAAGGAGGTACCAAAAAATGATCTACGATAATTAAATCAGGTTTTTCTTGCTCAATCAGTTCTACAATCTTTGGATGAACTTCTTTCATTTCTTCATATATTTTTGCCATCAAGTCTACTTCTTCTTCTTCATTCGGGTCGAAAATTTTGATTTTTTCAAATGGTGTTTTGCCGGACAACATGCCACTCTCGCGCATTTTTTGCAACATCGGAGCAAATGCCTTGATCGGATGCGCTTTTTTGTCATTGTTTTCTCCATTTCCAGCAAGCATTTGTTTTTTGACATCACTTTGCAATACAAATTCCTGGAATCCATGTTTCGAATATGAACCAGCAAACATAGGATTCGTGAGGAAATAAATTTGATGTCCACGTTTGGCTAATGCTTGAGCCATTCCTACACAGGCATTGATATGACCAACACCATCCATCGGCATGAAGAAAATCTTCATCAATTTTTTCGGTTGTGATGCCATAGTACTTTTCAATTAAAATTAGTTGGAAATATTTTCACAATTTAAAAAAAAACTTGAACAGCAATTGTGGATCGAGCTAGAACTTCACAACATTTTATGTAAAAATAAATTTCTGATTTGAGGTGATAATGATTTATTTTATGATTTATCTAATTAATAATGAAATCTGTTTATCACTATGATAATCGACTTGTCGAAAATTTTTCACTGTCTATTGCTGGATACAAACATGACTATCTCATATCTTTCAGCTCAATGTTGATTGCAGATCCAGTTCTATCCTGCGATGAGCTCAAAAATCAAAATTTATATTTTTGTAAAACTGCAACGTTCATCCTCAGTACAAAATTTGTTTCCAACAGTTATTATCAATTGATTAATCATTTTTTTTTTCATTGAAGTGTCTTTTAGATAAGATAATGCAGGTTTTTTAAAATCAAAGTTTATATCAAAGTAAATCAACCAATTAAATTGGTTCAGTTTTAAGGCAATTCTTTTTTAATATAAGTCAAATCTATTATGAAAAAATTGACATTGTAGATTAATTAGTTTTTGAAAATTTCTCGGCCAATTCTTCAATTTTTTCACAAGCTTTTTCTTTGGAATTGGAATTCTGGATTCGTTCGCCTGCTTTTTTGCATTTTTCTTTCATTTGCTGATCATTGAGTATACGATCAACAGTTTCGATTAGTTCTTCATCAGTGAATCCATAAGTATCAAGACGATAGCCATATCCCTTTTCTGTGATACGTTGTGCATTATCAAATTGATCCACAAATGACGGCATCACTAACATTGGTTTTCCAAATGACAATGTTTCGGAAACTGTATTGTTACCACCATGTGTTATGACCATATCGACAATCGGAAGAATTTCTGTCTGTGGAACATATGGCCCACCCCACATATTATCAGGCAATTCATATTGGTCATGAAGGATACCTTTTGAAACAATATATTTATGAGATGTTTTTCCAAGTATTTTGACTAATCTTTTCATCAATTCAACATCGAATCCAGCCATAGAACCTAATGATAAATAAATCAATTTATCTTCAGTCTGAATTTTCTTTTTGAATTCGTCTGGTAATTCAAATTTTTCTGCAGTTTTTCTACAATAAGTATCCATACGAATATAATTATCTGGTAGTTTAGCTAAATCAGTATAATCCAATTCTTCGGGGAAGCCATAGATGTTCAAATAAGGTGATAATAGTAAAGGTATTTTTTCATCGACTTCTGGATAGCCAAGTTCTTTATTGATCAAATTTTGTGCGTAACAATGACTTTCACAGTAATCTTTTTGAAACTTTTCGCGGAATTCTTTCCAGCAAGTTTTGTCATATGTGGGATAACCTGTTGAATTCAATAAGTTAAAAGCAATTACTTTAATCTATGTTGTTTACCTGACAATGGTGGTGGAACATTTGGTGAATCAAACAATGACAATGGATTCTCAGAGTACAAAAAGATCCAAGGAATTTTTCCATAAGCAATGCATGGTGACAAACTAAAATGGCATGAATCGGCTATGATCAAATTCGGTTTTAGTTTATCAATAGCCGTTACCATTTGCGGATGAATTTCTTTAAGTTGTTGATGTCTTTGATAGCCGTGTGAAGTTTGATCGCGAACATCTATCATTGCACGATATGCGTCTATTTTGTCAATGGATGATCGATGTGAAAAGATACCAGCATCAGACATACGTTCCAATGTTTCTTTACTTGATTTCAATGGATGATCTTTGTCGGCATCTTTCTTGTCATTTGAATCATTTTTCTTTTTATTATTCTCTTCATTCGTTAATTGAAGATGAATTTCATTAAGTCCAAACTTTTTAAATGTTCCGATTTCGTTGGGCAAGGTGAAAACAAATACTTGATGACCACGGTTTGCAAGTGCTTGAGCTAGACCGATTGCAGCATTAATATGACCTATGCCATCAGCAGGCTGGAACAATATTTTCAACGATTTCGATGACATTGTTGTCTCTTTTCTGGCGTTGAACGATTTTTAATAGCCATATTTTATACTCATTTCATCAATTTTATTATAATTTGAAAATGACAAAATGATAAGCGGTGAAATATATCCTGATTTTTTTATCATTTAAATGATTGATATATTGTTGTTACTATAGTAACATATACTAGTTTTATGATAAATCAATAAATAAATAATATAGATATTGATGATTGGGAGAAGAGCCAATGAATTTTCAAGAAGAAAAAAATGGCAACATTTGTGAATCAAAGAATTGTAATTGTTAATACAAATAAAAACTGATTATATTTCCAGATTTTATTGATTTAATACAATTCATTCGATTATCCAAGTTTTTTTCCATTATTTGATCAACAATATCGATTTATGTTTTGTCAAAACACTAATATTTACACAATGGTTTGAATCAAGTGACAACAATTATATACAGGGAAGCTACACTTTTCATCAAAATTTCAACATGCTTGTTTAACAAACATAGTCATGAATTTGTTTCGATTAACACAAACATTGGAACATATACCAGGAAACAAATGGCTAGTCATAATCATCATTATCCTCATCCTCATTGATCATTTTGACACAATCATCGATCCAGAAATGAATGAATGAATGAAGATTTCCTTGGATTGAAATCATTCATTTTATTCTCACTTTGTGTTTTTTGTTTCTTCCGAAACAAATTGTTTGTGTATTGCACAGCTTGAAATCGAACAGCCAAATATTGGAACATTTAAAATTAAAGACCGTACCAGATTTGATTCATAAAATAGTTTCAAATCATTTTGAATGTATTGTGTATAGAAAAAAAAACATTGTTTTTGTTGTAGTAAAAATTGTAATTGGCTGATGTTTATAATAATCCAAATAAATGCTATGTTGTCTCAATCACTGTTGTTCAATCATCATCAGAATAAAAAGATTAATTGTTTTGAATGTACCGGTGATTCGAAGATTAAAAAATTTGTCAAATTTGTGATTGAATAGGGAAATTATCACAGTAAAATAAAAAAAATAATTCCAATAAAAAACAAAAACAACCAATATGTTGTTGTTGTTGTTGTTTTCATGTTTGTATGACTATAGTAATACCGAATTATTTGCCTCCTCCCCCCGGAAATATGATCGATCAATAACTTCGTCAACGACTTATTGCATCTTGAAACCCGATGATGAATGATTGACATAAATGTGGCGATATTGTTGATGATGATGAATAGCTAGTCCAACAAATATCAACAAGTGGTTCAACTGATCGAATTTTATCCCGAATTGAAATAATTTCGGGAAGTAAATATTTTATAATGACAGCAATGTTACCGGCCGGCTAAAATCTTTTTTTTTGCTTTCTTTTTTTTGCTTTCTTTTTAATTCATTTACATATTTTCCCGTTGTCATTCGGTAAACATTTGGTTTAGTTTAGTTAGTGACTGATTTATTTATTTTTCCTTCATATATTTCGATGTTGTTGTTAAGCGCCTACGCTGCGGTTATCATCATCAAATAATTTGGTCGCAAATTATTTCCTCTTCTTCATTTGTCCAATAATCCACTTGAATATTTCACCACTTAAAACAAAACGAAAACGAAAATCTTAATGATGATGACCCGAATGGATGGATCAGTTTATGAAGAAAAAAAGAAAAAAATCTTTTGTTTGTTCATCCATATATACATAATTCATCATTTTATTCAATTTGATGATATTGGTCTGGTGGTCTGTATTGTCCGAACAGACCGGCACTAACCCGCGAAAAATTTTCCGAAAAAATGTCCATATCTCCAATTATCACATCGTTTGTTATAAATTCAAAACAAAAACAAAACAAAAAAACCCGACAAATGACTGAGTGTTTTATGTCATTGTTATTTGTTGTTCTACACAAAGCTATTGATTATTATTTTGCTGGATGTTATTGATCAAACCTTTTTTTTCACACAATTGAGACATCTTCGATCATCTTGATGGAAGTTTGTTTGAACGAAAAACAGAAAAAATAACCGAATAACCGACGATTTATTTTCTCTCAGCATCATCATCATCATCTTGATTTTTTTTTCAACTCGCCGGGATATTCTCAGTTGATTTAGTTGAACTCTTATCGGGTGTGAACAATACAAATGAGAGATGATGAACAAGGTAACCTGAATTTTCATTTTTTTTCAATTTCACAAGCTTCTTACCCAAAGTGTGATAATGCTTCGGATTTGTTTCTCTTTTGTTTCATTTTAATTGTTCTTTTTTCACTTTTCACTATATGATTACCACCTTTTTTTCTACAACACTTTCGATTCGTATGGTATGAATAATTTTACAATGAAAGGTTATAGATTTGTGGTTGACCACAAATTTGTATATAAAATGATCGTTCCAATCGAATGAACAAATCATATCGCAATCAAATCATACATTGATCGTTTGTGTGTTCATTTGATCGTTTAGTTTGCCATCCTCATAGCCATCATCAAAAAGTTTTACAATGTTGACCAGAAAAACTGCCATCACACCATTAAGGTGCCTTATGTCACCTGGATCATTATTGCTCACATTGATCGTATTGGAATCATTTCTTTTGCTTAGCTTTCAAGTGAACGAAGCTCAAGCATTTAAAAAATTGAAAGCCAAAAAAATCCTGAAGAAAATTTCGCCACTATTAACATTGTTGACATATTTGAAGACGAAAAAGAAGATCATTCCACTCCCTGTACCATTGCCAGTTCCTTTGCCTGTAATCAAAAAGGAACCCGAATATATGCCATGTCCTGATTACGTAAGTTATGCATAATTGATTCATTAATCGAAATAAATGTTTGCTTCAAATCACAGGGAGGTGGTTACGGTGGAGGTGGATACGGAGGAGGCAATTACGGAAATAGTGGTTATGGTGGTGGGGGTGGTGGAGGCGGTGGCGGAAATTGTAAGTATAGTTGATTGCATTTTCAAATCAAAAATAAATAAATTTTTATTTTAATAGGCAATACAGGTGGTGGTTATGGAGATATGGGTGGCTATGGCGGAGGTGGTGGTGGATATGGAGGTAATAGCGGTGGTTATGGTGGTAATAACAATGGCGGATATAACAATGGTGGTGGGGGTAAATATTTTTTTTTTGTTTCATTCATTGAATAAAACAAAAATTTACATTTTTTTTTTTGATTCTCTAACACTAGGTGGCGGTTATTGAGGATAAAATTTTGAAAAATGATTTATAACAAAATGTGAATAACGATGGCTGGATCCATCTACAATTCAATTCTGTTATATAATATGCTTCATTCCATTACATCAATTTATTATAGATGATGTCAATGAGAAACAAAAAACCTCAAAATTAATATATTTTTTTCCTTTGTTTGTTTGTTTATTCGTTCACAAGAATTTATTATGATTTTATTTGTTTTTTTTTCTGTCTTTTTCGTTGCCATTTTTTCATCATTTTCAATCACTCATCCTCATTATTATTATTATTATTATGATCGTCATCATCATCATCATCATCATTATTATTATTATCATCATCATTTATCAATGCTTATCGTTCTTGTCTGTTTATTCATTTGTCTTTGCATCCCCTTCCTCATTTTCCTGAATATAAAAATCTCAGTGTCTTTTTATTTCTATTATCATCCAATATTTTGTCTTCATCCATTTTCATTCAACTCATTTCGTTTCCCATTTGACCATCAATTTTCCTACCGATTTTTTCACCTTTTCCAAATATTATTTGTCCCATCCATACTTTTCAGTTCTATCTACCTTCAAATTCATCCCTATTATTCTATCAATTCAAACCAAAATTTTCCTTTTTTCCCATCCCATTGTGTAACCAAGAAAAAAAATCTGCCCCAAATCATTTATTCCAAAAAATAATCAAATCCAACTTTTTTTTGCACCCAAAACCCTCTACCTCCTTCTATGCTTTTCCTTTGACCAATTCCATTCCTCGATTCAATTAGTATGTCCAAACTATTTTTAAATTTTTCATTTTTGCCAAAAAAAAATATCTTTCCGTTATTTTGTTTACAACAAATTTTTTTTCATTTACCGTCATTTTTATTTTTCCCTCTTTTCTGATCTATTTCGATCAACAAACTTTCCAAAAGCTACAATAGTCCTTTTTTGCTTCATTCGATTCTCTTTCTCTTTTTTTCTTACCGTGCCAATTCATTTTTCCAATTGTTAATTATGTATTGTCTGTTTTTTTTTGTTGAAAATTTTTAATTCTCTTTTTAATCTAATAAATATCTTAAATTTGAACTTTATATATTGAATGTTTTTATTGTTAAATTATTTTAATAAAATATTTGAAAAAAAATTAAAATTGAACTTTTTATTATCGATTATAGATGGCGTCATTGATCAATAAATTTTTCTAATAATTAGCAGATCTGATAAATTATTATCAATTTTTATTATAATCAATTGAGATAATAATAAATTTATTTTTATTGAAAACCTTTATTGAACTTCATAGTAGATGATGTTAAGCACTAAGTGATCAATGAATGTATTTAGGAAAAAAAACCCTTATCATTTTTTTGATTATTCATTGTTTGTCGAATAATTTTTTTATTATTATTTATTTCCGTCGTAATTTGACAGTCAAATATTGTTGTTATTATAACAATAAAAGTGAATAAGAAAAAAAAATCTATCGCGTGTCCATCTACATGTCCGTCATAATCATCCGTTTGTTTGACAAGTTGCTTGTTCAGTTGTTCAGTACTTATATTTTATTCCAACAAAAATATGATAAAATAACGGAAGAGATTTTTGTTTTTCATTCGTTCTTTATCCGTTTGTTCTTCACCTTTTGCATTTTTTTTTCATCAAATATTTCATGCCTTCATTTTGTTTGACCAATTGTTTATATGAAAAAGTTTGAGTTGATGGTCAGTGAAAAACGAATTCATACACGGTTATTCAAGTCTAGGCCAAATATGATTTTCATTTTTTTCCTATTCTCTTCTCGATAAACGAACGAACGAAAAAAAAAATTCAAAAATTGGTCAATTTTCTTTGATACATTCATTCTTAAGAATGATATGACTTTCTCACACATTCCCACTTCATAGCAGGCAATCCCGTTTTTACGAGAACAATCCCGAAAAAAACATGATGATGACGAGCTATATGGATAAATGCCATTGGTCGACATACGATCATATGATCAAACTGAAGAAAAAAAAACTCAATTTCCTCGACGATTCATCATCATCATTATTGATCTGTTGAAAATTTTCCAATTCATTTGTCTGTATGCAAAATATTATTATTCATAGTTTTTAGATACAAAACAAAACAAATAACGATGATCAAATGAATTATGAATCATAATTTGGACAGTTCGATCATTATTAATTATCCTTTATCGATTAGATGATTCCCGTTTTTTTTGTAGTATTTTCTCTTCAATATAATGAATGAATGAATGAGGAAAAAATATACAAAACAATTATCATTACTTTTTCTAAACAATAATAATAATACTAATATCAATTTACATTTAAAAGATTTGATAGACAGGTTATTTGAAAAAACAATATGTTTATGTTTATTCACAGATTCATTTGATGATATACGGATATACTCATTATTGATGTATGAATCCTGATTCAATGATTTATTCAAAATCTATTCATCTATTCAGTGGTCATATGTTATTGTTGTTGTTTTTATAATTATGATTTGATCCTAAAAGGATTTGTATTTTTTTCCATTTCAGTCATATAATAATGATGATGAAGATTGAAATCTGATAATTGCAATCATACACATATCACGAGAACGAAAGAAGAAAAAAAAATACATAAATCATATGGACAATAAGAAATAAAAACGGAAATAAATGACGAGTAAATAAATTTGACAATGACTTTGCGAATATAAATGCCATTACAACAACAAACAGGTCAAAATAATTTCGATCTTGATCTTATTAGAGAAATCATTATTATTTTTTTTCTTCTGTACATCTTTAAAATCCATAGAATTTTAAAATTTTTCAAAAGGCTTTTGTAAAAATATGATTACTTTTATTGAAAACCATTGTAAGCATCGTTGATTTTTTTCGGCCAATTTTTTTTCAAATAATCATCTTATTAAATAAAAAAAATTTGATGATTCGAAATGTTTGTTTGTTTGTTTGGGGTCAAACACACGCACACACACACACAGGAAATAACTTTTTCTTTTTGAATAAATTCATTGTCATTCATTGAAAAAAAGATGATTCAAGAAAAAATGATAGATAAATTGTTTCGTGATAATGATAATAGTTAATTAAATAAGTATCATTTCATGGCCATCATCGGCTATCATCAAACTTGAACTCAATAATTTAATGTTGTTTTGTTTTCGTTATTATCATCGGATAATAATAAAAAAAGATGGTGAATCTTCCGGTCGAATCGATCAATGTTGATTCATCTTTTTCATTCAAGTTGCGTGTGTAAGTGATGTTGTTTTTTTTCATTTTTCCGATCGGAACAATCAAAATCGATTGATTATTTTGTAATCATAATCATTATCGAAATGATGAACTTTGATTATCATTTTTTTCACACTACTCCTTGTATAATCATCAATTCAAATCAAAATTCATTCATTTCAAATATTCTCTGAATCGTTTTTCATCATCATCATTATCATCTTCTCACCATTTTACATTGATTAAAAAGAAAAACAATGAAAATGATGATGATGATGATGATGGCCACGACCACGAACACTGTGTTGACCAGTCATCAACAAAGATGATGATTTGAGAAAAATTGCCGTCATGATGATGATGATGATGATTATGATTACAATTGCCATGATATAATTTTATATATATTTTTTCCTCTGCTTTCTCGTTGTTTCGAGGTTGTTTTCGGAAAGGCGGAAGCTGATTATTTCAGCGAAAAAGAAAACTATTTTTTCCCTTATTTTATTTTCCCTTATTTTATTTTCCCAATTTCTAAGCTAAAAAAATTTTTTTCCGAAGAAAATACTGTTTGATCTGTGCTATTTTACACTGTTGTAAATAATTGAAAATGAATGAAAATCCAATGACCAATATCGTATCTTTTGGGTGTTGGTTGGTGTGTGTTCCTCATGTGTGCTTTGTTTGTTATAGTTGATAAGAAAAAAAAATCCCAAATAATTTAATGGCAATAATAGTTAGAGAATAAATGATGACCATTTTCTTCCACTTGACAATGATGGTGATGATGATGATGATTGTAGTAAACAATGGATTTAATTCGGAAAAAAAGAAGTTCAAATATCTATCAAAATTGAAAAACTTTTATTTATTTCAGTGTCTGATGCTAGCATCATTCGTTTTTTGTATACAATTGTATGTCGGACTCAAACTTTCTAAAGAAAAAAAATGAAATCAATTTTTTTGATCATTTGGAATAATGTCCGATGATGATCCAGATAGCTTATTTTCTACATTCTATTATATTTAATATCCATTTTCACAATAGAGATCAATTGGCACGATCACTTTATTTAATCGTATCGTTTTTTTTTGTTTGAAAACAAATCAAAACAGTTATGATATAGGAAAAGAATTGTTATCATTACCATTGTGTGTAGGAAAACAATACGTTTTAAACTTTAAAATTTGATGTATTAAAAAAAATGAAATGTCAAAATTGGTCATTGAATGAAATCATTTATTATTATTGTTTTGTTTTCGTTTGAAGGTTCATCATGTTCATAATTGTAATCAAGCATTTTTTTTGCATCGTTGTTGATTAGAAGCAATCGATTAGATTGACTTCCGTAACCGTTAAACAAAACAATAAGAATACGATTGAAATTTTTATCTCTTCATCTGATGATGATGATCAACAACATAAAATAGCCAGATATTTATGAAAAATTCATCTATATCTGATGATTGAAGATATTCATGATTTTTTTACTAAACCTGAACAAACCCAATCAATATGATCAATTTTTTCCTGTTTGATAAATCATGAAATCAAAGAGTTTTCAATTGATTTTTATAATATGAAAAAAATCAATTTATTTTGAATTTCAATTTCAATTCTATGATTATGATGGCAAAGATGTCTTTATCGATTAGGATTTTCTATTGAAATAAAAATTTTCAAATTATCATCATCAACATCATTGGAAGAAAAATAAAATAATAATCTTCAATTGAATTTATTTAAGCTTATCGAATCGTTAATAATAGATCGATTGATTGAAATGCATGATGATCACAAATATATAGTTTGTTACTACCTAACCAGTAATCATTATCGATCAATTCAAACAAATAAAAA